AACAATATTAATACAATATTTTATATTGCGTTCCTTCAATAGAAATAGTAATCTTCCTTATATGTATTTTCATCCAGGCAATATGTGTCAATTTTTACGTATCTTTCCGAATCTTTTCGTTTGCATAACATAAAGGCTTAAGAGTTCGTATACAATGTACAAAATGAACGTTTTCTGCACTGAAATATAAAAAAATCCCAAAATATGTCGAGTGCCTTATTATTCTTCTGTCCAGCATTGAAATAGCGATTTTAACGAGTTTCAGACGAAGTTCACCGAATGTTAATGACTGTTAAAATAAATCGGTGGATTTATGAAATTTTTCGTCGAATGTATGTTCTCGAGAAATCGTTATTTTGTTAACTACCTGTAGATTTTCCTACACTTGCCGTTGCGTTAGCAGGAACAGGCTTATCTGTCTTCCCTAAAGTATGTCTTATCTAATCTGCGGAATATTTATTTACCATATATGCGAATGATATTTTGTGATACGTCAAAAAATTTGTATGGCACACGTGCATGTACAGAATAATTGGGCTGCGTAAGTGGTGTCATTTAGATTAGAACACATGCTTTCATGCGAGGGGTTCAACGAACGTATTACAATTTGGCGCGACAATTGAACGAAACTTCGCGTCAAAATGAACGTAAACACGCAAACATTTACATCAATTAATTTACAATCAATTTACACATTAATGTCAAAGTTTATAATAAGAAGAATTTAGAATATTCTTAACTTCACTAAATGTTAAGATATTAACAAGTTGGGAAATCTAAATAATTTGTTGCGAACGTCAGAATATTACGTTTTTATATTTAATTGGTAACGAAGTTGTGCTCCAAGTAGCAAAAGATATTGTGTATACAGGGTGTCCCAAAAATGTCTCGCAATCCGAAAGTAGGGGATTCCTGAGGTCATTTGAAGCAACTTTTTCCTTAGCGAAAATGCAATCCGCGGCTTCGTTTACGAGTTATTTACGAAAAACAATGACCAATCAGAGGCGAGATCATTTGGCGCGAGACGGCCGAGCCAATAAGCGGAACTGGGCTTCGTGCGCTGGTTGGCCGGACCGCCTCGCGTCAGTCGTACTCGATTCTTATTGGTCACTGTTTTTCGTTAATAACTCGTTAACGGTGCCTCGGAGAAAATTTTCGCAAAGGAAAAAGTTGTTTCAAATGGCCTCAGGAACCTCCCATTTCCGGATTGCGAGACATTTTCGGGACATTCTGTATATACAATTGCAGAGAAAAATGAGATAACTATTTTAATACTGTTGACATAAAAAGTTTTGAACATATCGTTGCTATTTAATGATCACTGTGTATATTGCTTGGTATCAGTATGTGCTGTAGGATGCGTTGCATGTGCGTACTGTTTGATACTAACATTTCACTCGTATAATATCGTTCGTCTATGATAAGAGTTACACAATTTAAAAATTGAATTGTACGTATCTGATATTATGAAAGAATTCTTTCTTCCGACTGTAATTAATTCACTATCAAAATATCTACATCCTTTTATTAGGTCTGTGCAATGGCACAAGTGCTGCAGTAGAACTGAAATGTTAGTAAAGATTAGTAAGAATTTAGATGTTACTTTAATCTATGTGTTTCTTTTCGAAAAAAGATATCTGCAATTGTAACAGTTTTCTACCTCACTTCTATGTTGCAAGTCTAAAATAATAGAAGCGGGACGGAGAGCTTTCATGGCTTCGGCTATTTTCTTTCGAAGAACAGATAATGGTAATTGAAACGTCCATTTGCTAATGAAAGACTTTCGTAACATTGTGAAAACGTTATTACTTACCTACAGTGGATGTAGAAGGTATTCATACACCTTTGAAAACGGAATAACTTTTTTATAATTGGGCTAAGCGGTCTAAATTGTTTTTGGGATGTTAGAGCGGTTAGTTTACTAGATAATAGTTAAAAAATTATCTTTAAAAATTGCGATTTGTTGGCATGGTAAAAGAATTAGAAAATGCCGTTTTTTCAACTTTTTTATCCGAGCCTATGACGAAAATTTAAAAAGTGCATTTTGTAGATCTCGGTAACTTGTAATATATGCATGCTGAAAATTCATCGGAATCGGTCGACGCATGGTCGAACTACAGCTACTGAAAGATGTAGGTATTACCTGGTTTTGGTTGAAATTCGTGAGAAA